CCAGCCTTTGTTCATGTTTTTATGGTGTTTTCAGCACTGCTGAGCATGAGTGCGTGTTTCAGCTCTCAGTTTGCTTTGGAGAGGGTGGCCGAGGCTCGGGTGTTTGTACGGGTCAGTTAATAAAACACAGCCTGGGACTTGGTCTGTGAAGTGAAGAGCTGCAGCTGTCTGTGTGCAGTTCATGCTTCAGCTACATCGCAGACACTCTGAGTCTGCAGAGTCTTGATGAAGCTCAAAGCTGAGAGAGAAAAGCTCTCTATGTTTTACTCTACATGTTTTTATTGAGTAAAACTAAATCAACACACAGATGAAGCAAAGTCAGCTCCACAACCTAGTCATTTGAGCAGAATAAAGCCCTCTGATTTCCAGATGGACGTCTGAACACCCATGTTTATTACATGTGTGGATGAGATGCTCCCCATCACCATGGTTACCTCTGGTCATTAAGGGGTCTCCCCACTCTGATGAAGGAGGTCATCACATCAGACTGTGATGAAGCTACTTCAGAGACACACAAACTCAGATATCTGCAGGAGTGCTCTGACAGGTGGAGGCAGTTCCACCCACACAGAGGGGTGTCATTACTTTAATACAAAAGGTGAATGAGCAGCTTCACTGACAGCCTGCAGACAGGTGATGCCTTGGATGCGACGAGCACTAGAACAGGTGAACAAACTGGAGCTTCTCTGATGAATCAGTGGCTCTGGGTCGCATCCTGACTCTTCTTCTGCATCTTTTTAATGAGCTGCCCGACCTCCACCTATGACATAAAACTCACCTGGCTTAGACCCCCACCCCTGGGGCAGTCACATCCTGCTGGGTATCTGCTGTTACCCCACAGATCAGCTGCTCCCATCAAACAGTCTTTAATCTCTTTATTGTGTTTGTTCAAATGACACAGAAGTTTGCTCAGCTACATTTTATCACCTTCATGCCACAGATCAGAATACTACAAACACCATCTGTCCTCAACGAGCTTCACCACAAAACTGACGGAAACATCCAGGTCCACATGAAGCTCTCTGCTTCAGTTACAAAAACACTGTACAAACAGTCAAAGTAAATTCTTATGAGCTGCAAACTTTAAACATGGAAACAGTCAGATATCAGAAACATGTTTGCAGGTTTTATGCCTCTGGGCTGTAACATCTCCAAACTTTTAAAATAAGAGCCCGCACACTTTAAAACCTTAAGAAGTCTGAGAGTGTTTGAGTCGAGTTGAGTTCCACGCTGGGGCTTCTTCCTGTTGGATGTTGATCTGCTTTCACGTCTGACAGCAGAGCAGTTTGTGAAAGACGTTCCTGAACTCGGCATTGAAGGCCGTGTAGATAATCGGGTTGACAGCGCTGTTCACATAGCCAAGCCAAGTTACCACGGAGATGAGTGTGGGACCAATGTTGCATGACTGGCACAAAACTTTGGTGACATGGACGACAAAGAACGGAGTCCAGCAGGCCAGAAACACACCTGAGACACAGAGAGAGAGAGTTTCAGTTCAGTTTTATTTATATAGCCCAAATAACAACAACAGTTGCCTCAAGGCACTTTATATTGTAAGGTCTAGAATACTCTACAATAATACAATGAAAACAAAGAAAACCCTGACAATCATATTACTCCTTATGAGCGAGTGTTTTGGCGACAGTGGGAAGGAAAAACTCCCTTTAACTGGCAGGAACCTCCAGCAGAACCAGGCTTAGGGAGGGGCCGCCATCTGCCGTGTTCGGTTGGAGTGAGGAGAGGAAGACAGGACAAAGACTTATTGTGGAAGTGTGCCAGAGATTAACAA